CTGGTTACAACGTTCTAAGTGTAAGTGTGAAGATTTCGTTAACACCCCTGTAATGCTTTCTGGTTACAACGTTCTAAGTGTAAGTGTGAAGATTTCGTTAACACCCCTGTAATGCTTTCTGGTTACAACGTTCTAAGTGTAAGTGTGAAGATTTTTTAACACCCCTGTAATGCTTTCTGGTTACAACGTTCTAAGTGTAAGTGTGAAGATTTTGTTAACATCCCTGTAATGCTTTCTGGTTACAACGTTCTAAGTGTAAGTGTGAATATTTCGTTAACACCCCTGTAATGCTTTCTGATTACAACGTCCCAAGTGTAAGTGTGAAGATTTTGTTAACACCCCTGTAATGCTTTCTGGTTACAACGTTCTAAGTGTAAGTGTGAAGATTTTGTTAACACCCCTGTAAAGCTTTCTGATTACAACGTCCCAAGTGTAAGTGTGAAGATTTTGTTAACACCCCTGTAATGCTTTCTGGTTACAACGTTCTAAGTGTAAGTGTGAATATTTCGTTAACACCCCTGTAATGCTTTCTGATTACAACGTCCCAAGTATAAGTGTGAAGATTTTGTTAACATCCCTGTAATGCTTTCTGGTTACATAATAATAATAATAGCAAACTAGTAAGAATTGCTACATGTAGAGAGTCGACATTTTCATGAGGTATTCTTTAATCTCAAACCAAGTAGACTGAACAAACACATTTACTAATTACATTTGCAGCAAACAAAAGAGTGGACAAAGGGTACATAGCCGCAAAGAGAAAACCTAAATGCTTAGTTTTTTTATTTTAAGCAGAAAAAAGGCAATTCTGCTGGTGAACCTGGGCCTTGTGTTACTGGTCTTCTGTATATATACGTACACAAACATATACACAAACACACAATATATATATGAAAATGTAAATAGTGTTTGTTTTGAATTTCGCGCAAAGCTACACGAGGGCTATCTCCTCTAACTTACTTGACTTCATTACAAGTTCATCAAGTTAAGGGAAGAAAAGCATGCTCTATGATCTATGACTTTTTAAGTACACAAGTATTAAAACCAACGAAGGAGTCGAAAGTTCAATTCTCCCATTTCTGTAATGGAAAGTCTAATTTTACTTTTTTCTAACGCTACTTTATAATGGAAAGTTAATCCTTTTTTTTTTTTGCACAGTTTTTGTTCTTTCTCGAATCACAATTCTTTTCTAGGTTCAACATTAATGTTTTTACGCCTGTATATGCCGCAGCAGTGCATCTGTTTCTGTCATGCGGTGAAACTAAAATTAAATTTAAATGGACATTTCAATCTTCTTTTTTGGCACGTCATTTGTAATGGGTCTGCCCATATTTATTCACCCAATTAGAATGTTTATCTGTATTTCTGTTGTTTTTTATGTAACTAAATTGTTTTTCGTTCAATTTACATTCGTTCAGCATTATATTCAACGGAAATAGGTAACAGAGAAATCTTTGAAAATTTAGTTTCGTACAAAAATGGCGCGCACGCAAACAGATAAATCTTTGAAAATTTAGTTTCGTACAAAAATGGCGCACACGAAAACAGATAAATCTTTGTCAATTTAGTTTCGTAAAAGAATGGCGCACTCAAAGTTAAATTGTATTTAATTGCCTGAACATTGATATCATAGCAAAAATAAATCAAAATCGAGATGACTTTCACTAAGAAAGTAACGGTAAGTTTTGATATCACGGGTTTAAACGCTGAAAGCCGGCGAAAACAGTAGGCCTAATATTAATATAAAAATAGCACTAGACTGCAGATGTGTTTTATATACTTCTCTTAGTTAATCTATTACGTATTGCAAATCTATTTTATTTTTTTATTTGTATTTGTATTTATAGCAAGGCTACTAAGGCTATCTGCCGCCGTCCCTAATTTTGAACTACTGACCAGAGGGTAAACAACTAGTCAACAGCACCCTAATATTGTTGCCCGATGAAGGCTTGCAAATCAAAGTATTAGGTCGTCAAGAAATTAATGTCGCGTTTTGGAACACTTTCATTAACCATCTACCAAAAAACGTACATCACGTATAATAGTTAA